GTTTATTTGCAAAGAAAATTTTATTTGTTTATTTAATCATTCACTGCAGTAATAACTCATCGCAAAAATATGCCTTTATGTCATCACCAGTCATTCATTCATTCTAAACAGCCAATGATGATCTTTAATCCGCGAAATCTTCAGTCTTTGTTTAGCGATAATTAAAGACGTCATGCAAATGTTGAATGCCAAAAACTAAAAATAAGAATTCTCACGATTACTGCTATTATTCATGCTGGCAATCATCGGGCTTACGAGTGCTAGTTGTAAGCAGTTAATTGCTTTGATACCACTTGATTGCAGGATAATCATGATCCTGAAGACGTTGTTGATTGACATAATCAAGGTGTTCGCACAATCGCTACTTCATGTCGGAGTGCCGTTGCCAGTGGTTGATAACGTAACGTTGGCCAACGATGCGTATATCGTTACTAAAACTGGATTCGTTCGAATCAGTTCTGATTTTATTTATGAGCATTCAATTCCGTGAGTTAATCATACGGTGGGGCTATCACAACTGCACTCAACCCGAAGTATCTTCGTTTTATTCTGTTTGCAATACTGCAGATGAAAGAGGAATGGTTTTTTTTCTTTCCTTTGCAACAATGGTTTTTTTCTGGTTTGGATGTGGTAATGACTAAAACAAAAAATAACGATGAGTGCATTTAACGGACGGTGTTTTTGATTATTCATTGTCAGTATGACTCAGGCATGCATATATATGCCTTGCTTTGAAATGCGCACAGAATTGAGTGCATTCTGCGGGTTGTGATCGTCACAACGAGGTCGGTTGTGCGATCCATCTTCGGAAGGTTATTGAAGTGTTATTTTGATCGCTTGAAGAGATTGAATTGGGATGAACGTTTTTTGGTGGCAGGGAGGGTGTTGAATGACGAAAATATTTCCAATGTTTTCAACCACATTTACATTTTTCATTGGTCATTCATTGGTTTTGAAATAATATTTGTGGATTTGGGATAAGCAGTCAACATGCTCACATACTTCACGGGGTGCAGAAGGGACAATGAATTTCTCCCAATTTTGGAGTTTGCGCAGGAAATATTCATGTAGTATATAAATGTTAATTTATTTCGAATCAAATACTATTTTGATGTTT